AAGAGGAGAGGAGCTACTGCATCTGTTCCCTGATCTTCTCCTACTACTGCGTCTGCTCTTATTTAACAGTGCCTGGGACCATCAGGAGAGCCCTGAGCATGTCCAGAGCAACCCTGCCATGTCCTAAGATGTTAGAGATGTCACTGAGGGTGCAGATGAGTGACCTGAGAGACACTGAGGGTGCAGATGAGTGACCCCACCCTCCCAGCAGCAGGGACAGGGACCTCAGTGGCCCAACACACGACAGGGTGCCACTCAGGTGCCACTCAGGTGCCAGTCAGGCAGTGCCAGTGTGAGCACAGCTGGCAGCTTCTCACTCCCCTCACCAGCACATCCAACATTCACACTTGTTTCTGTCCCGGGGCACCCGGGCCCTACATCCCCAATTCACAGCATCCTCTCCCTCTGTGGCTGAAACCCCCCCACTGCTGGCTCAGAGTCACAGTGCCAGCTCCAGAGAGCCCAGCTGTGCAAGGACAGCCCTGCATGAGTGAGGTGGCTTTCATTCCACCCCTAAAGCCAGGTCCCACCTTTTCAGTGCAGAGCACTGCACAGCTCCTCATCCTCTCAGAGGGGTGGCAGAAGGATGGCATGGAGCAGTGTCTGGGATGGACTAGTGGGGGATTCTTTAACACTGGTAATTGTTTGGCCACAGGAGTTCTCCCAGTAAGTAATGCTGGGAACTCTTTCTGTAAGAAATGAGTACTGCCCAGATGGACAAACTGCTGGCTGTCCACACATTGCCTTGGTGTGCCAATGCCCTTGGTAAGTCTTTTTCTTTTAATAATTTATCTACATGAGGACTTGGTGAGGCCCTCTGGAAAGAGCTTTTATTTCCAAGCAGAACCCTTTCCAAGGTGAAACATTGCAAAGCACAGCAGTAATGCTCAGCTGTTTGCACTCCTGGTAAGTGCTGGATAATCTCCTCTGGGCTTGACTTGCAGACACTGCAGTCAGATGTCTTTCCTTTAGTGCAATAAAATATGTCTATGTAGGAAAACCAATGTCAATGGACTGATCTTTACAGTTTCTGGAGCCAAAGTTAATCCTGGGAGCAGGAAGCTGCTTCCACATGTGAAATGTCGATGAAGCTGGAGCTCAGGTGGGAGAGCAAATGGATGGGGTTCATGAAATGCCTTCAGGAAGGCTTCAGGGACTCTCAGCACATGGAGCCTACAGGGTGGTACCTGGTGGTTGTAAATAAAGGGGTGGGAATGGATGTTTTGCTCAGTGTGTTCAGAGAGATCACTCTGATATGTGTTCTCCCTGGACCTCAGCCCAGTGCTGGGTTGGGATTGTTTTGCAAACAAAACTCTGGAAGGATCCTACTCAGGAAAAATTATGGAAACTAGTGTCCTGTGATTGATGGAGCCAAGATTTCCCAGTGGAAACTCAATGTGCTTAATCCTGCTCAGGTGAGGCTGCACTACAACCTCCCAGAGGACGTGGACAAGGCAGAACCAGGAGGGGAGCCCAGATTTTAGGACACATACAAAATCAACAGCTCCCTTGGAAATAAAATGTGAACTTTGCATCCCTTCCCACCTATGATTCCCAGGGCAGGGATGAGCCAGAGTAATCTACTGCCCCTTTGCTCTCCTACTGCCAGGGAAATCTGAGAGCTCATGGCTGCTTCTGCCAGGTGTAGCAGTACAGCTGGTTTAGTATTAGGCTGGGAATACACTCTGGAGCTTATGGGCAGAGAGGGAAGGTGGAGAATCCTTGTGGCAGGGAAGGCCTGGGTACCATGAGCCCCAAATGTGTCTGTGCTTAACCTTCACCAACTCAAGGCACTGATAGATGAGACCATACCACAATATGGACTGGCAAGCTTGCTGAAGCAGTATCACCAGGGATGAAAGAATCATGAATCCCTGTTATCAGAGTTCAGGTGCACAGTGTGATGCAGAGGAGTAAGGGATATGTAAAGGGTACTGGGTATATGGGTGTAGGGGACATTGGATGCAGAGGACAGAAGGTATTTGAGGGGTGTAAAGGAAGAGTGTCTGTAGAGTGAGAAGGTTTGGATGTGGGGTGCAGAGGAGAGGCACAGGGTGAGTCCCAGGCAGGCAGGGTGAGGAGGTGTACACAACCATGTAGTGCCTGAGGCTCCCAGAGCTGACAGAGAACCGGGAGCCCCAGAACAGGGAAGCTCAGCTGCATCCCAGAGGGAGGTGATGGCCTGAGATCCYTCCTTCCCCAAACCACATGTGAAACATCCCACCACTTTCTCTTGACCTCACCACCTGTGAAATGCTCAACACAGTCCATCCCAGCCTGAGCATCCTCTTCAGTACCGCAGCAATGGCAGGAAGGGGAGTGGTGCAGGAGGCAGACCTTCCAGCAAGGATGGGAGCTGCCACACAGTTTGTCCCACTGTCTTGGGGGTGTCTGGGGAGCTGGGTGCTCCAGCAGGCCTGCATGGGAGCCCCAAAGGGCTCCTAGTGCCACCTCCATGGGAAGAGGAGGTTTGGGCACATTTTGTCAGGCTGCATCAGCATCACTCTCCCTGCAGGCAGATACACTGGAGTGAAACCGAAGCCAAGCAGGATCAGGGCAGTGACTGCTCCTCTGTAATCCTTGTCACTGCCAGAAAGGCAATGAGGGGCTGGAGTATGTCCAGATATGGGCAATGGAGCAGGGAAAGGATCTAAAGCACAAGTCTAATGAACTGTGGGCACAGTGTGGACTCCTGGCACAACTGCCTGAAAGCAGCCCCTAGCACCTCAACCCCAAGTATCCCACCCCTCTAAGGAGGGGTCAAGCACCAGATAATGGCCAGAAAAGCCACTTCTCAATTTTTTTCCTTTTACCAAGGAAATGTTAAGATCTGAAATTCAGCATTAGGAAGAGATGTGGCTTCAGCTGCATTCTGGGTGGTTGGTAACTAGAAGCCTTCTGCCCTTGGGGGCTGGGCTTGTCGGGAGCACCAGGCACTGCAGTGGAGAGGGGGAATAGGATCTAGGCATCCCAGGATAACTCTTGCTGGAAGATACCTCTGGAGTTCTGTCGTCCAGACACTTCCCACAACCAGACCCAGGTTTCCAAAGACTTCATTCAGCAGGATCTTGCAAGCCCTGAGGGTGGTGACCATGGCTTCAGTGGGTCCCTCTCTGGGTCTCCTGGGAGAATAGGTCACACCTCGCTGCCAGCCCTGCTTGTCTCTAATGGATCAGTGTTGGAGGATCTAACTCACCCCACTGTGATCAGTCCTCCTGTGCCCCACTCCATCACCCCACCCACCACTTGCCCCCAGATGAAGAAATAGTGCCCCTGCCCCATGGCTAAGTGTGATGCTGGGGAGTGCTGAGGTCCTCACAGAGGTGCAGTTTCCAGTAAATGGTTTTTATCTCAACCCACCTTTTTGTGCCTCCAGCTCTCAACTCCATTCCCAGGGTGATGGGAGGAAGTGAGTGAGCAGCATCTGTTTTGGAAAGTCCTGAGCAAGGGGCACTAAACTGAGGAGTGCCATTCCTAACCCATGACAGTAGCTCTTTCTTGGGGAAGTAAAATCCCAGACAGGGATTTTTTTTTTTTTTTTTTTTTCACAATCTCTTTCACAAAGGGCCAAGGGAATTAAGGAATAAAGAAAATTTAAGAGGTAACAATTCTGCTGAGGGCAGATGACATAACTGGCCCCATGCCATGCTGTCACCCACCTCTGCCCAGCACCTTCCTGCTCAATCATGGTGGCAGGGGTGGCCAAAGGCAGAGGGCAATTCCTTCCAGAGCTAAGCCTGGCATTCCTGTCATGCCACACCGTGGAGGCTCGCTCTCAGCATTCTTGGACAGTCTCGGAGTGGGCTGACAGCCTGCCAGGGCACTACTGATGCTCTAACAGGGCTCCCACTGTGAGCATGTCGGCTGGGGCTGAGCCGACACTGTGGCACAGCACCAACCATGGGAATCCCTGCACTGAGAATTGGGCAGCACACGTCGGCCAGCGGGATCCCAGACAGCAGGGCCCATCCAGCATCATGTCATTGTGTTTGTGCCAAGGCCTCAGGTCTGTGCCCAGAGCTTGGAAGCCAGGATTTTGCACAGCATTCCTTGACTCCATAGGGGAAAATCTCAGGCGGCCTGGGAGCTCTGCAGCACAACCTGGCACCCCTGCTGGACATGGCTGTTGACATAACTGGGGTATCCATGTGGCATCTCTGGGACTAGTGGCTGTGGAGGCACATCTTCACCAAGCACCCACTGTCCTACAGCCAGATGGGACATTTGTGCTCTGAAGGGGACATAGGGATTGGAAAGCAAACACTAGAGACATGAGACTAATCCAGGATATGGAAAGAGGTTTTGCCAGGGAGTGACCCAGGGACCTGGCTCTGACTGGGAGGTGGTTTCGCAGTGTATGGCTTTATCCAAAGCCAGTGACTGCAGCTGTGGTTTGACAAACTCACAGCCAGGTGCCACAGCTTCAGAGCAGGTAGGGATGAGATGCCTCCTGTCATCAGCCTGAACATTACCCCAGCAGCCACATTACACACAGATGGGATTCTCCAGCTCATTCCCAGTCTATGCCATTCCTGTGGGACATRTGGAATAACCAGATCCCAACACAGTATTACAGACTGCATTGGRTTGGAAGGGACCTTTCAAGGCCCAACCCCCCCTGCCACAGGCAGAGACACCTTCCACTAGASCAGGTTAATCAGACCCCTGTCCAACCTGGCTTTGAATGTTTCCAGGGATGGGGCAGCCACAGCTTCTCTGAGCAACCTGTGCCAGGCCTCACCACCCTCATAGGGAARARTATTATCCCATCTAAGCCTGTCCYMTGCCACTGGGAAGCCACTCCCCCTTGACTTGTCACTCCAGGCCCTGGTCCAAAGTCCCTCTCCCGCTCTCTGGAGCCCCCTTGGGCAATGCAAGGGGCTCGGAGGTGTCCCCGCCGCGGAGCTACGGGGGGCGGAGCCCTGGTGGCGGGGGTGGGGCCCAAAGGGAGCGGAACCGCGCCCCTTCCGTCTGCCCCCGCCCCGCTGCCCGGCCCCGGCCCCGCCCGCCGCCGCCACCGCCCGCAGCCGCCGCGGCCCCGAGCCAGCCCGGCTCCGTGTCCGTGCCCGTGGCCGCGGACTATGGTGGCGGCCCGGGGAGCTGCCGTCCGCCGCGGAGCGGTGCTGCTGCTGCTCGCCGCCCTCGGATCCTTCCGTCTGCGTCTCGCCCGTGCCAGTGAGTATCTCTTCGTTCCCCCCGCTCCTGTGTCCGTGTCCTCTCCCTTCCCCCGCGGATGCTCGTGAGCCCTCCCACCATGAACCCTGGTGCGGTTGCACCCCGCTTCCCTCCCATCATCCCCRTCATCCCACGAGGGATCAACATCCGTGGGTGTTCGTGTTCCTGGSTGGGAGCTAGGTAGGAGGTGCCCTCGCCATGCAGCCCCACGGGGGTTTCTCTCGCCCCGCAGCGCTCCCCGGGGACGGGCAGCGCCGCACTGTCACTGCTGCCCGCTGGTACAGGCAGGAGCCTGGCAGTGGGTGGCAGCGCTGCAGGGCTGGCCCCCAGCAATTGTTTGTGGGGGCAGGAGGGACCCACAGATATGGATCCTGGAGTGGGGAGGGAGCACAGAGTCATAGAAGCGGCCCTCGTGAAGCGCCTTTATTGGTAGGAAAAACATTAAACAACATCAAAAAACACCGAAACAAAGAAAGAAATAAAGAAATAAAGGTGCTGCAGTGACCGAGCATTCYGGGGAGACGCCGGAGGCTGCGTTGGAGGGAGCCCTGTTTGCCCATCTGGCTCATTGCTCCGGGAGCGGCCGCAGCATTGCCCCGCCGGGCCACACCAGTGACGGTGACATTTCTGCTCTCCGCCGGGGCAGAAGGAATGGATGGCCCTCGCACCCTCCCGCGCAGCACCGCCCTAAGCTGTCCTGCTGTCTGCTGAAGTGTGGGGGCATTCAGGTTTGATTTGTTTGAGTTTCGGGGTCTGGGTTAGGTTATTTCCCCCGCTGGGGGGTCTGGCAGTGGAAGTGTTCCATGTCCTCTTGCTCTGTGCGCACTGAAGGGGTGCGCGGGGCTGTGATGGGCACAAACAACGGCCCAAAAACCCCAAGCAGCCCCAAGCCCCGTTGCTGCCTGCGGGCAAGGCTGGGGCTGCGCACCGCAACCCGCCCGGGGAGGTGCCTGTCCCTGCCYACGGTACGGCCTGTCTCGGGCAGGTGCTTTCCACCTCGCTGGCGCAGGAGGCAGCAAGGGCCTCCTGGCTCCCAGCATTGTTTGCGTATCCGATATGGTTTCCCTGCTTTGGCTCCCGGCAGGGCAGACGCCAGGCAGGAGGACGCCAGGCAGCCCGGGTGGCCTCGCCATGCTCCCACCTGCTCTGAGCAACAGCGGGAAGGTGCAATAATTTTTAAATCTCCAAGTGGATCCAAACATTTGTACGTTTCTGTGTCGGAGGGTTGGAGGCAGAGGTGGGGGTGCTCCTGCAATTCCCCTCTTCCCAGGAGCCAAGGCTGGGGTGGCCCAGTCAGAGGTACTGCKGACACAGGCTGAAATGGGAGGAAAGAGATCTGGGCAGCTCGGATGAGCCACTAGTGATYCAGTATAATCTCTGCTGCTCCTGAATTTAGGGGGTTGATGTAAGATCATTTGGCCTGGCAGTGCTGCTGGGGCAGATCCCTTGAAGGGCTGCTGGGTGGCTGTGCTTGGGTGTTGTCAGTGGGAATAGTAGCAGTTTCCTCTTCCCCTCCTTTCCCAGCCCTGGGAGGGTTCTGGAGGTGAGACAAGCGTGAGGGACCTGGCTCTGCAGCAGCAGCCTGTTCCAGTGCTGGGATACTGCACCCTCTTAGCACACATGGGGTTGGATTTTTGGCTCAACCTCATTCTCTCAAGAGAAGCTGGGGATAGTGTGTTTGTGCTGTTCCAAACAGCAGCATCCCATTGCCAGGCAGTCAAGGTTGTGTGGCATGTAGTTGTGGGGACCTCCAGGTAGGTTTCTTCTGGGGATGGCTGAAGAATATCTCTGGGATGGTGGGCAGGGAAAGGAGTCACTGTCCTGACCCCTCCAYTTTTCTCCTTGAGTGCCATGGGGCACAGGAAGCACTGACTGTTTCTTCTCACTTTATAATAGTCTTTTCTGGGCAGATGGGGCCAAGCTTGACTTTCTCTGGGGAAGGCTGCAAGGTGGATGTGTCAGGGCCAGAAGCAGCTCCTGCTCTGTGGCATGCTGATGAAGCTGGATCCTGACAAGGAGACAGCCGGGGGAAGGTCTTGGACCACCATACCCATGTCCTCCTGCCTCTGCAGCTTCATCAAAGCTTCTTCAGATGGGSGTTGACATCTCCTTCTTCTCCTTCTCCTCACTTTCCTTGGCTGGCGCAGCGACCCAGAGGCCCTGCAGCAGATGTTATCTCCTGGGATGCAGCTGCACATGGCACAGTAGCACCCTCATCTTGCCATGAGCCTGATCTGAGCTGGAGGAAGGGTAGCAATACTGTGGAGGTACTATAGGGTGGTTTACATTTGCTTGCTGCTCCTCAGYTGGGCTTTTATCCCCCCACGTGTCTATCCATCACACTCGGCTTTGGGTAGAGCCCCTGCCTCACCTTGTTTTCTGGCTTCATTTCCTAGAACATGAATGAGAGCTGAATTTCTTCCCCCTTCTCTTGTAATTAGGTTGCCAAATTTCATCTATTASTATTGTTATTGTGAACAAAAAAGAAAATGTTTTCCAAGTGGGATGACAGGCTAGAACCCCATTTTTTAATAAYCCTGAACCCTGCAGCCCTGCTGCTACAGCCATCACTTCACATCCCAAACATCTGGAGRTGCTCAGCAAAGCCTGAGTGGTTCTTTCCAGTCCAAGTGACCCATTTGGCCACGTCTGACCTGCTGGATCCATGCTGCTGCTCCTCCTCATGCCRCTCCACAGGAATGTGGGTTGGAGCACGGATGCTGGTGTTGATTATGGCTGCYCCTGCTCTGCGGTGGTGCAGAGACTGTTCCAAGTTCCCAGCTGGGCATGGCGAGGCAGGAGCCATCCCCTGGGAAGTTCCCAGGCTCAGCCTGTGGTGGGATTGTCCATCTCTTGGCTTTTCCTTTGCCTRCTTGTCCATCACTGCACTGGGGACAGGGTTGGGGTGCAGTGGCCCCAGAGACCCCCATGCTGACCCCTGAAGCTGAGGCAGCTCCAATCCCCTTGGGAGCAASACAGCAGGGTTGATGCTGTGCCTGTGGTGCTTTCAAGGGCCTGGGTGCCCTACTGAGCTCCTCAGGCTCTGCCCAACATCCCACAAGCTGGTCTGCAGGAAGCAGCCCCAGGTTTCTCTTGGGGCACAGGTAAGGTTGTCTGGCACGTGGTCCACCCTGGGACTGGTAGCAGTGGTGGCCAGTGGTCCCACTCAGCAATCCCTTTGAGCCCCCCATGGCTGCATGGCAGGGTGTTCTCTGCCACACTGGTGCAGTCCAAGTGTTTCTCCATGCAGCAGCTGAGGTGCTGGTCCCGAGTTTAATTTTCCATGTGGTTTTATTCTTGAAGATAATGTCCTCACCGTGTTATCTGGTGTTACATTCACTCAGCTGGCTCCCACTGTGGGAAGGGAGCTCTTGTGGGGGTGAGATGTGGGGGAGCTGGGATGTGGGGCGCAGGCATCCCACAGGACTTTACTGATCAGTACCCATAGCAGGGACCTAGGCAGGGCTCTGTCTGCAGGCCTGAGAGGGGGGAATGGGTGGAAAGATATCTAATTATTCTGATTGCAGAATCAGCATCAAGGAAGAGTTTATGGAAGAGATGGGTTGAAAGTCCCTCTTTTTTTTTGCTGTAGCTCTCTGTGGACTCACAAACCTATGTGCATCCCAGCAATACCTTGAGGGTGCCAGTRCAGGGAGGGCTGGAGCTCAGGGTGGGAAGACTGTGGTTCTAGAGCCAGGGGCATGCTGCTTGCACTGTGAATGGGTCAGGTCCTTTGGATCTGTGATTTCCTGGCAGCTCTGGAGACTGGTCCCCCACCCCAGGGACCCCTCAGTCCCCAGAGTGCCTGAGTCTTCCTGCAGCACAGGGGAAGATGTGTCAGTGTTTGCCTGAAACATGTCTTCTGGGCCATGGGGGTATTAAAGGAGGTAATCGGCTTAACCCTGCTGGATGCTTCCGGAGGGGCACAGCAGCAGGGGAGTGAGTGTGGTCAGGGCACTGGGGACAGGGAGGTTGTGGATACTAGAGACTAGAGGGGTGATGGGACATTTGGGATAGGAGGGGTGTTGGGGGTATGAGGGGTGACAGTGTGGCAGGGGGATCAGGAGGCATCACAAGATGGACAGTGTGCTGCTCATCTCGGGAGAGATGTGGCAATGCAGGAGAYAGGAGGGGTGCTAGCATGGTGGGGACTCTGGGAATGAGAAGGTTCATGGGAGCTGCTGGGGACAAGAGCATTGATGGGGTGATGGGGATGTTGTGGACAGGAYGGGTGGTTTGGTGCCCTGGGACAAAAGGTGTGATGGGATGGCCTCTCCCCRAGTGCAAGGTTCTGGGTTCCTGGGCAGAGCGTACAGGAGCTGCCATCAGTCCCTTCCCTGCATTAAATACATAAACACAGTGCTCTGGTGCTTGGTCCCCACAGGAATCTCTGGGTCTGGTCCCCCCAGGGGGTAGTGGCTGCCTTGGGCTGGCTGCCCCCAAAACCCCAGGGCTTRGCCCCAGCCCTACTGCCAGGGCTGAGGTATGTCCCTCCTTTGCCTGAGCGTCATTGAGCACCGATGCTGCTCCAAATGGCAACTGCAGGCCTGTAATTAGCCACTTCTTGAGCTAACGAGAATTGCAACAGGAAGACACTGGCCGCTAAGTGCCTGGAGTGAGCTTTGAATTGGAGGAAGGAAATGCAGCTGGAGCAGGTCCTATCCCTGCCTTATCCCATCCTGGAGCACTGCGGGCTGCAGCTGCCTGTGCTACCCTGTGCACACTGTGGCCCATGATGGGTTCCCTCCTGCACGGATGGAGGATGGCAAAGCCTGTGAGGAGTATTTGCTCTTTGAGTGGGAACCCATCATCTAGGTGGTGACATGAGAGGGGACATGTCAGCTGAGTGTGTGCAGTGACCCTGCCTCATGGTGACACAGGGCTTCCCTGGGCTCCTGGCCCCTGTTCCATTCCTACTGAAAGGAGACCATGATGGAGGTGGAGGCAGGAGGTGTGGAAGGTACAAGTCTCCAGTGCACCCATAGCGTGCATGGCTGCTG